AGCTCCCACCTCTTTGCCCATTTTCGATTATCCGGGAGTGACGCGCTGCCAAGATTGCGATGGTCGGCTCCGCCCACTTTGAGCTTCAAAACCGCTCTTCAGAAACCTACGGGTGACGTCACGGACACTACGTCCATGTTTTTATACAGTCTATGATATGCACTGATCTCGTGTCCTTCAAAGATTAGCATAGTGTAGTATGCATCTATCTGATCCGTGTAGTTTAGGATGCACTAGTCTCACAACTATCTGATCAGTGTAGTTTAGTACGCACTGGTCTCACATCTGTCTGATGAGTGTAGTTTAGTACGCACTGGTCTCCAGTGGCAGCAGCAGCTGGTCATATGGATGTTGTTGTGGCGGCTCGGGGCTGAACTCAGTCATGGGCTGTTGCTGGACGCTTGTGTTCGGAGGATCATATGAACCTCTGATTATTTATGATGTTTTACCGTCAAGAAAGGAGAAATTTCCCAGGAATGAAGGATTGTTTTTTGTGAACTTTGGCTGTTTCTGATTCGCGCTTCACTTCAACAGCACTTTCAACAGTTTACTTCACATGCTAACTGAAGCTAACTCAAATCAATGCCAGACTTCCCAGACTCTTCAAGGGGTTCGTGATGACATTTTTATTTCATTTGATTTCAGTTTTACATTTTACTTTATTTTATCGACACACGTGAATATATGAAGTTTTTATTTCCTGAAATCAGAGAGTTTAATATGAATTCCTCAGTGGATTTATCGCTGAAGAAAGTGCTGAAAACTCCTCCGACACGACGAACTGCTGAGGTAAAAACACCCACAGAAATACTTTATCACAACAGATATGAGTAAAAACACCACTTTAGAATGTCAATAACTTGCGCTAAATAGCTTATTAGTTTCGATTCAGGACTCAATTCAGTAGATCGTTACAAAGATTCATGAACTAACGTGTCTCGTGCTCGATGATTGACTTCATATATTTGACTGTAGCTGTTTTATTTATTTGTTTGGGGTCTCTAAGTGGTGTTTTTGTATTCTATGTGAGTTTATTTATGTTGTACGATGACAGATGTTCAGCTACTCCACAGACTTGTTCTCAGTGAGCAGAGTAAAACTGCAGTACTTGATCAGTACACATTAGCTCAAAGTGTGAACATTTGAAAGAAGTTCTATGTTTCACGTCTCAAGTCGTTTATTAATGACAGAAATCAATGAAACTTTACTGCATTCCAGCGGTGCAGTCGGACACTCGAGGCGCGGGCTGTGTCTCAAATCCTAGTGAGCTGACTGACTAGACATCGACTAGCATTTCTGGGCCTCACGGTCTAAATAACCCTACTCAGATAGTTTATATGCTGGCATTGGCGGGCCAGACTGAATGACAGTGTGCCATGACCTCTGTCTAGTGCGATGTGATTCACACATCTGGATCAAAGCTGAGCAACACTACACAACAGCAGCATTAGCAATTTGTCTACTTGATTTAAAGTAAATCTGGGTCATTGTATTAAAATCATTGTATTAAAAGCCTGTCGTAAGTTTGGCCTAAGACTGCTCAAATATCAGTTCGAAGTACAAAGGTTTGTTTTATTACAGAGCTCAACAATAAGATTTATTTTCGTCCAGCCAATAGTTCACTGCAGAATGATGACAGGGTTTCTGTGGGTCTTACAAAGTCTTAATACGCCCTTCCACAAATTCAGTCCTTAAAAATGTCTTAAATCAGAGCAGAAAGTCTTAAGTTTATTAAGTCGTGGCAGTTGCATGCTCTGCAATAAATGAATATCTTCCTCAGTATTATTGTCTTGTTTTCTAATACAAATATCTAAACATCCTTAAATCAAGATACAACTTGAGATGCAAACTGAAAATATGAAGTCTTGTTTTCTGAGAAGTTGAACAAAATTAAGTGAGTTTATGCTTTAAACAAGAACAAATATCTGTCAGTGGGGAGTGAAAACTCATTTCATTTTAATCAGTTAATCAGAAAGCAATACTTTTTTTTTTAAATCTTAAATAATTTTAAAGAACACTTCCAGAATAAAAAATTCTATCAGAAAGACTCAGAGAGAAGGTAAACGTTTACATAATATTTATTCCATAAAGCATTACAGATGGTGGTGAGCTACAATAAATCATGTATAGTTGTATAAAAGTTCTTTGGCGTAGGACGAGCATTTGTGGTTAAAAAGTATATATATTTAAATTTTTTTTAGAAAATGAGCGATGGTTTTGCTAGATAAGACTCTTATTCCTCGGAGCAGCGCAGAGTAACGCGTTGTGTGTGTGTGTGTGTGTGTGTGTGTGTGTGTGAGAGAGAGAGAGAGAGACAGTGTCACATCACAGTGGAGTCAGCTGTCTTAACCGTGGCTTGTGTACTGCAAACACATACCAGCTTCATCACTGTGTCTGTCACGCGATTGAAGCTCGATGAAGCTCGCGATTATGGTAAGGGGCGTTACATTTCCGACAAGTGCTTGCGGTGTTCGGCCAATCACAATGCACTGGGTCAGCTGGCCAATCAGAGCAGACTGCGCTTGTCGGAAGGAGGGACTTTGTAGAAAACGAAGCGTTTGAGAGAGGCGGGGCATAGAGGACCTACAATAATGTACAGTATTTAAAAAATAATGTGTTTTTTGAACATTAAAGCATGTCAACATATTCTGTTACACCAAATACACAAAATAATGATCTTTAAAAAAGCATCATATGACCCCTTTAAGTCATTTTGCTTCTCAAGGAAGTGTAAGTTGATTTAAGAATCTTTAGACATTTGCACTGAAAAAGAAACAAAAATACTGATGAATAACATCACTTTTTTTTTGCAGTGTGATCAGAAGGTAGAGTAAAAGTTATTTCTGTATTCAGTTGGATGGGATCAGAGCCATTCAAGCCTTAAGCTTTTTCTTTTAGTAAGATGTATAAGAAAGTAGTGGAGATCTGTTGGAAGTTGTATTTTCTAAATTTGAAGTGTTACTAATACAACTCATTATGTGCTCTCTGGACATTTACGTTTAGAGACTATATTGACATATTGTGATCCCTTCAATTTATTTATTAAATTTTCTTTACTTGGTCTTAAAAGGTGTTTAAAAAATCTTAAATTTACCTTCATTAAACCTGCAGAAACCATGGATGATCCACTTTTTTGCTAGAAATAAATCTTTTTCATAAAATGTTTTATTTTCAACATTTTTGTGAATTCAAATAATAGTTTTTCTTTATAAAAAGCTGGAAATTATCTAAAAGGGTGCAAACATTGGTATGTAGTTTTCAGCGTATCCTTAATACGCTGGCCATCGCAATTCATTTTTGTAATTTCAACCAAACCTCATCTGTGTTAACCAACTAGATATCATGCTCTTGGTGACATATTAGCAGGATTTGCAACTACAGAATGCGTAACAGAAAATTGAAGGTTTGCGTTTGCAATGCGCAAAAAGAGGTTTTTAGTGGCAATAAAAGGGCAGCTGGCCCAAAACTGTGCCACCCTTGTTGTCGAGTTTGATAAAGCAGGTCACTTCCGTGCCATTTTGGGAAGTGAGTGTAAGAAACCAAGAGAAGCTGGTTTAGGATTGGTCATCTGTGCTTCATTGAGAGCTTTCTGCCGTGTGTGTTTACAGGTAGCGTACAGCGCTGCAGGTGTGGGCGCTTTCTTTCCGATTGTCTGAGTGCAGTGAAAGCTGCTGATCAGACTAACAAACACAAACTGCACCAACTCTCATTGCTCTGATACTGAGCTTCCAGATGGGTGTGTAGTATTACGTAAGAGCAAAACAAATAATCCTAGTCTTAATTTCCATAGCATTATGCCGCCCGCTTTGTCCCTCAGGCTGCTTTGCCTGATGGGAGTTTGATGGTGTGCTCAGATGTGGTGAACTGCTGAAGACAGTACAGACTCAAAACACACGTTGTGGCACTAATAAAATCCTCAAAATCCAGCGGTCAGTGGCACAAAACCCTTTATGGTCAGGAAACCCTCGGTGATAATTTACTCTTATGTGCTTTCTTATAGCTTAAGGAGTTTTGTGCAGATATTTAGAAACAACAGAGGACCTGTAACGTTATTGTGAGTGTACGTTTGAACTGATTTTGCTTGTGAACATTTTAATAGCGTAGATGGCTCACGTGGATTCACTCCATTCAGTTTAAAGCAAGTTTGTGTTTACGTGTTTGTTCACAAATGCTGGACAGTATTTCTCGATAATACTTTTGCATGTGTAAAATGTTTTTAATTTATAAAAAAAATTACTGAGTGCACCTTTAATTGCCAGATTGCCAGTTCATAACATTGTATTACAAAATCAGCATGATTTTTTGTATTTTTATTTTTCTCATAATTATAACAGTGATTAAGCATATGCTTACTATAGTTTGTACTCTTAAGGGTGGTTCAGAGTCAGACTACACAATTTTTTTGTAGGTTATGATTATGCGACAGTTCTGCGAGATCCAGTGAGAATCATTCTAATTCTGCACAGAATTCTCTGTTATAAACAGCGCTGACATACGTCAGGAAACCAGAAGCGGTAACGCTAACTGTAACCATGGTGTTGTGGTAGAAATAGTCCAATGCATTACATCATTCATTTCAGGGTTTGTACAACCTTTTGAGAGAGAAATTCAAGCACTTTTCAATGACTTTCAACTATTTCCAGCACTTTAAAGCTCTAAAATGATCCAATTCATTTCTACTTTTTCCTCTATATTTTGAAATTATAAAATCACTATTATAAAATATCAAATCATCAAGAAATCAGATTTTGTCAGAATTGTACACTTTTTTGTGTATGAAGTAAGAAAAGTCACAAAGTGCCTTGAAAAACAAACTTTTCTTCAATTTGCTACTAAATCACACATAATCACTGAAGTTGGTCAGTTCCATATACTAGAAGAATAATGGTACATTTAATAAGAGTGGAATATATACATTTTTTTATATAAAAATGTGATTTTGCACCTGTTACTGTTGTTAATAAAAGTAAATTTTGTATGCATCTTAACTCAAGCTTTGTGCTTTACTGTCAAATCTGTATAAACAATAAACAAAAGAAAAATAAACAAGAAATGAACATGAAATATTATTAGTAACTGCACTTACAAAGCAATAATAATTTTATGATTAAATGATCTATATTTTAATACTCCCACAAACCCCCAGTGCTACCAAATCTGTTCCTGGCGCCACCATCTGTAGAACTTAGTGGCACTGATCTCAAATATTAGTCTGGAGCCCTGCTACATCAAGCAGATCGTGCCAAAATCTGTCTCAAATCATGTAGTGTGAACTGGGCTTTAGATGCCATTGGAATTTACGTTTTAATTTGTCTGGTTTACACTTTTTTATATTTAAATTTTTCTGGACTCTGGACTGGTTTTTATGGTTAAATTAAGTAATATTAATCAAAAGCATGTCTAATTAATTGAAATCACAAAACTTATATAATTTAACAATTTATTAAAAGGTTAACAGAAGTTATTCTCTCACTTTTTTTAACATAATGAGATTTAAAACAAATTATAAATGAAAAAGTGTCCTGTTATTATTTCTCAGACAAAATGCTGCACATTTCTTTGTGAAATTGAAATATCTTTTATGTCAAATATCAAAAAAATGAAATTTTAAAACAACCCCAAATCAAATAAATAAATTAATAATACAAATAAAAAGCATAAAATGCTTAATAAAATCGCTGCTGTTCCATAAGCGCCACCTGCTGTCAGAGAGTGAATTTGCGTCTCATGCAGCAGGTGGCGCTTATGGAACAGCAGCGATACAACATTTCCTTGGTTACCGCTGCGCT